TACAGAGGTATATTAGTTTTGTGCGAGTGTACATGGAACACACAGAAGGAGGCGTGGTAGACACCACAAAGTATATATATTCTTGATCAGCATGACAAGCCGTCTGTCCGTCTGTCTGTCTGTATGAACGCAAGGATCTCAGAAAGTATAAGAGCTAGAATAGCCAAACTTGTTATACAGATTCTCCTGAGCCCGAGAAAGGACGAGTTTGTTCATTTTTCCCCATGCATCCTCCCACTCCCCCTTATTAACGATTTTAATTAATTAATTTAATTTCTTTTTTGTGGGGTGGTACAGGGTATTTAAGAGTTGAGCCTGCTCGACTTTACCATTCCTTTCTTGTTTTTTTTTTTTATATTTGTTACCTCAGAGCTTTCGTCTGAGTGAACCGATTTAGATGATTGTTTTTTTATTGTAAAAGATGTACTTCAATGGTAGTTTAATTATAGTTTGGTTAGCTTGGTTAGCGGAGGTCGGGTTTTTTTTTGGTAAAATGTTAATTACTAAAAAAAACAGTTGAATAACGTTTGAGGTTTTTTTATTTCAGCTCTGACTCTACAATCCCAAATCAAAATGAAGAATACTGGGAAAACCCAGCATAAATAATATACATATGTATGTATGTAAGCCTTGCGAGGCATAACAAATGACAAGTAAATCAATTTGTGTGCGCTTAATTGTTAATATTCTAATCACATAATCGCTGTCCCGACCACAGCCCACTGAGCCGCTATATATACTGTAGAGACCACACACACACGCACAAACGGAGCAGATCGGAGCAAGTGCTGACGACGATGATGATGATGTTGATGCCAAGTCGTGCGATAATTATCGGTGTCTGGCATCTCGTAACTAAAACATGTAGACCCCCACCCCTCAGCCATTCCAGTCCAATAACACTTGCCAACGACTCATTCATTCATTCATTCATTCGTTCAATCAAATGCCGACTGTGCCGCTGACTTGCCGTTTTTGAATGCAAGTGCTTCGCAGCCCACTTCTTTGTGCTTCTTCTCCTCCTTTTTGTGTGCTTTTACAATTTTTTTTTTTTTGAATATCGGCCTTAAGTGTGAGTAGAATTTACATAACATACATATCTGTGACTTGCACTGTAGACGGAACACAATATTTGGTAAAAGATTGCTTTAAGATAAGCCTCCATACTTGTATCATAAGTATTTTATCAACCTTGATATAAAAAATATCTGGCTTTTTAAATTTTCCTTTTTTTATTTTTATGCAGAGTATTTGGGCTGAAGGTTTGAAAAAAAAAATCATCGCTTCATCAATAGCATTATAGTTTTAAATTTTTGCAAATATCGATGGTGTTCGATATATTTCTGGGAGATATTTTATTTTAACAATTTTAATTAGAGACTTTACAATGGAAAAGAGAGATTCGGTTAAATCGACGACCACCAGGATGTAATAATCAGAATTTATGGAAATGCAAAATGAATGAAAAGTCTGGGAAATTGTAACTGAGCGACGATTTCATTTAAAATCAAAGAATGTGAATAACAGAAATTTTGATTCCAAGACGTATAAATTATAACTCTAATACCGATGCTGTATTGAAGTAAAAGGCAGAATACTAACACTAATACATTTACATTTAGTAGGCAACACTTTTGTACTAGCTATTATGATAGTGAAAAGAACCAAAAGCTATTTAAATTTATGTATAAATAAGGTGTAATTAATAAAAATAGGTTAAGTAGGCTAACCAAATCACTTTTCATTTATTAGCTAAGGAAATTGAATTTTTGTGACTAGTGCATTAATTTATAAGAATCTTTCCTGTCACACTAGGAAATAATAATAAATTAATAATAAATAAAAAAATAAATAAATAAAAGCTGCAGCGTAGAGCAGGGTTGATATTTTCGATGTTACAATTAAAAGTTCTTGAAGAATATTTTCAGCAACATCTGCGATTGGAAAAGCTTTCACTTTTTGAATAACCCATCTATGCTGGCATAGATTTTTAGATTTACAATTTTTAGTGCCAGCAACTCAAGGTACGCCAAATACATTCTCAATACAATACAAATGCAGAATTAAATTTCAAATAAGTTGACCATTCTAGGAGGACCTTTTATTATTTTAGAACCATTCTGATTCTTAAAATAATAAAAGAAATATATTAACGTGTAACGGACTTAATTCTTTCGATTCAGAGTTGGCATCAGAAATGTTGTGACTACCTAACGCTATAAATTTCTTACTTTTGCAAAATCCATTGACCCACTGTACTCAGTGACAATTAAGACAGCAGCCCCATTTGTAATTATGCTGTAATCTCTACTGTGCTGTCTTCTGGCCATAAACTGCAATTAACTGTCCGGCCAATGAGCATTGGCTTTGTCGGCTGCTTACAGCTTTACAGCTTTTAATTGTGGAAATTACAGAGGCACATAAAAAACTAGCTATTTATTAACATTTTTAACAGTGTGAGGAATTGTGTTTGCCATTTGATGGCTCAGTTAAACAATTGCTGAACGAAAAATATATAAAAAACTATATATAAAACGCCAATTGACGACCGCCTATTTAGTAAAATTATGAATGATGTGACAAGTCCCCACTTATCTTGCATTTTTCTCGACTGTTTTGTGCATTTGTCGTTAATGAGCTACCATTGAAATTTATGACAAGTGGTGTGTTTGCGTTTGATTGGCTTTTAATAGCAAATAGCAAATTAATGTTGCATACCTCCACCGATCAATATGAATGGCTAAAACGGACAGACCCGCTGTGCCAACCACTCGCCAAAATGTTCATTTAACACCTGCGGTTTCTGTTTGTTGCTAACAAATGTGCGTTTTCAATGAAAAGCTTTTAATAATTTTAATTAAATTGAAAAACCTGTCAATTGACAGCCGCAGCTCCCAACTGAAATTTATGGGCCCCACACTGATAAGATAAATACTTAAGTCGAACGGAAGATATGCCAACAGATGACACAGTGAAAATTTTAGTATTACAATTTTGATAATATGGCAAATAAAATATATTAAAATAGCATTTAATTGAATGATATGAATTAGAATGGAATACTTGTAGAATGAAATTTTACTTACTTAAAATTTACTTAAATAGATATTAAGAGAACTTGCTAGTTTAATAATCATTGCTAGAATGATAGTAAACGGCTTATATATTGAAATATTTACATATATAAGTATAATCAAGATAGGAAATTGGATTGATTGGTCAATATTTTTAGATTTTTATTTATTGCTCTCATATTTTTCTCATATCCTATTCGATTCCGTTTTTTATTTTTAGGTTTCTAAGTATTACCCTTTTTTGTATTATTGTGATTATCGTGTAATTATTTAATTTCATTATTTTCATTTGTATTTTAAAATAACTTAATTTATCCATTTGTCATAATTTGTATATTTTAGTTATTTTTTAATTATGTTTTTCAATTATTATATGTAATATTGTGTCTTTCCACTTTTTGTTTGGATTATTAACTAGCTTGAAGACCAGCAATGTTTGTACACACAAATAAATACCTATTTACATACATACATACTATATGAAATACTATTTGCATATGAATAATACATTTTAATATCCATTGACGATTGAAATCGAAGAAAATACGCATTTGTCTACAAAATATTAAAAGTACCAAGCGTGGACAAAATTGAATTGGGTGTTCTTTTTTCCTTTTGATGATTTAAAATAATGTAAGAAAGTTTTGAAAGAAAAACACTCTATTGGAATTTCCACCACCGCCGTGCACCTTCTCAACAGAAGGTGGTAGCTTACACCGATTTTTAGAGCTTTTGACTCTCTTCAACACTAAGCTTTTGTTTTTGGCTCTCCTGTGCTTGCCGGCGAAACCTGTTGCCTGAATTAAAAGCAACTTGTTGCTTAGAACCCAGAAAGCTCAGTTAATTTTGGTCAAACATCCCTGAGGGTATAGATATACATACATATGTATAGTATATTCTTTTTCCGTTAACTACTAAAATGAGATTCAAATTTAAACAATTTTAATGTTGTTTAATTTCCTTGTCCTTTACTGCAGCAATCAACAATCACCAAGCGGACTGCTTCATATGTATTACTCAAAAGCCAAAACTAAAACAATCTATTCGTTGTTTTCAAAGCGAAACAAAGTTTAAAATATGGATCTATAAATATTCATTTGATTTAAAAAGGGACCGCAAATAATTAAAAAATTTAACAAAAATACAACTTAAGTTGGAATTTTTCCTGAAAGTATTTTTTAAAGGATTTTTTCGTCTTGGTCTATTGGTTAAGGATATATATCAATTTTGTGCTTATTCCCTATGAGAAAGGCAGGGAAAGTTCCAATTGATGTTTATTTTTGATCAAAAATATAAAAAGTAACAATATACATAATTTTACGAGTGTTATTTGTTGTCTCAAAAATAATGACTATTAGTTAAGTTGTAAATTAAATCTCAAAATTAATTATTATATTGTGAGCGAATAAATAAAATTCAAAAGTAATCGTTAACAGTTCCTAGATATTATTTGAATTTTTGTCAATCGACATTGAAATTGTGTCCTACCAAACTTAATTTCACAATTCGTTCCACATGCTTTCAGCATCATCAATGAAAATCTTCATAACGTATTAACACTGTTGTTGCTGTCAAAAGCCTTGCACTTTGTAGCTTTTAAACTTACAGATCTATATGATTGTCTCTTGAAAAGCTCTCGCACAGAAGACTACCCTCCTTATCTGTGTGAGTCACTCGGTGTCATCCCAGTTCTTTTTCACCAAAAAAGCGCGAGCAGAAAGCTCAAGCGAGAGAGGCAAACCAAGCTTACACAAGAACTCATCTAGAGCTGAAAAAGCTCCGCCACATGTTATTCGTTATGCGCGCACTATAGGCGACAAAGCTTTCGGCAGTCATTGAGATAACGTGACGTAGCGAAGTAGAGCGCTAAATCCACATCCACGGCTGCAGCATAAGAACGTCTGTAGCTATTTTTTTAACTCGAAAAAAACAGGAACAAACTAAACGCCACTACAAAGATAAATGGATTAGAAACGCCTCAACAAGTGAACGATATTTAAAAGCTTTTACGAATCTTGTTGCACCAAATTTCATCTAAAGACGTACACACTACATACATAGATATATTGAATATCGTGTTGGGTGAAACCAAAAGCACTTACAAAGCCAACTTGCTGTAACACGCAGGTTATTCAACCCGGGAACAAAGCACTGAACAACCTACCAGAGCAGCTCAGTAAGTAAGAACTGAATGAGAAGTATTGTATTAGTTAGTCATTATATCTATTCTGGTGACTAAGTTTTTACTTCCGCGCTGATTATAAAACAGGCGTGTTAGCGTAATTTTCTTCTCAAAAAACAAAATCAGCATTTAAAAAGCTCTTTCTTATTCCATTTGTGCATTTCGCCTCACACTTACGGCAAAGCTTTTGTGCTTCGTTCTTGTAAGAAGAACTGCAGTAGGCCGCTCCAGAGAGCAATAAACATAGAGAGAGAGAGAGAGAGAGAGTGAGAGAGAGAGGGAGCGTCGCTAGATTTGGCGAGCTTTCAGTTATTGTTTTTATATTTTATTTTAATTTCTTGTAGTTCGCCAGTAGGGAATATTATAAGGCTCGGGGCACTCCATAAGTAGTAACCAGTAATTCAAAAGTTTTGTTTCACATTTTGTATTTTTCAGTTACTATCATGAGTAGCTTGAGAATTTGTCAAGCGGTCTCTCTGCATCCGGATGCGGCAACTCTGGAGCCCGAACTGAGTCAGCCCTTTACCAGGACTTGTGTATTGGGCTGTCAGGCTAATAAATCAGAGGTGTGTCGCTTTCCAGTCAACGATGTTAAGCGGTAAGTACGATTATCGAATTTTTATTTGCATATGTATGTATGTACAAATATATGTTTCTTTGAGCTCATCGGACCGGTTTATGGGCAAAGCTTTTATCCATTTTGATAAGCTTATTGCGCATTGGAAATTCTTTCTTTTCTTTTTTTGTCACCCATTATTTACTCTTTATTTGGTCCACCCATGCACTCAGCATTTACCTCTCTCGATGTTCATGTTCTAGTCGAGAGTAAAGGGTTAATGAACTTCCTTTGTCTACAGCTTCAACTTCATAGAAAATTTCAATGCCATGGCAAAAAAAATAACAGAAGAATTTCAATTGCAATTATGTTGATGTAGGTGTTTACGGCGTCGGCGGCAGAGGCGACTCCGTTGCTGCCTCGCAGCAGCATAAGAAGCTGCACTCACACATACACACACACACACAAGCACGCCGTTGCAGTCGTGTTTATTTTTAACTCTCCCCACGAACGCTCTCTCTTCATATGCGTGCGCGCTCTGTTGGCCGTGAAGTTTAGTTTTCGATGTACAAAGGAGTTTGGAGTGGTCCTTAAAAGTCCAGCAAACAATTTGCAAGCTTATTTCTGTTTTTTTTTTTTTTTTTAATTGTATTTATTTATTTGATATTATATTATAAATCTATAGAAAAGTACAGGGACCGCAAATAATGATTATTTTGTTATTTTTTTTAAACGAAAAAATCATTCACTTATAGTAACTTTGAGAAAGCGAGGAATTCACAGATATCCTTTTTTAAGGATTATCTATGCATTTTCACTATAATTTATAAATTTTAATTTTTATTCATTCGCTCACAATTTAATGATTAATTTTGAGTTTTACTTTAAAACTTAACCAATAATCATTATTGATGAGCAAAAAAATAAAACCTATAAAATAATGATTATTCTTTGAGTTATCTCATTTTGTTCGGTCGAGGTCTTGGCATGTGCTTTTAGCCGAATAATTTATCTTTTTCTGTTTGTTACACAATGTGCATTTTAAATGTCTGGGGATTGTGTAATACTTTTTCTTTATTGTTTTCTTATCAGTTTCAACATTATGACTTTTAATTTGTCCCAAGTATGAACTGTGAAATTTTAAAATAGTCATAATGTCTACAACTGATGTTTCATATTCAATAAGTTTGACTAATTATTATAATTCGCAGTCACGGTTATTTCGAGAGCAATATTAGTTTAACCTAAGTTGTTGCGTCACATTTCACATTTCAAGAAAACTTGAATTGAATTGAAAATGCAAACTGAATACTCGAAACCAGATTAAAAGTATAGCCGGTTGAAAAAAGGAAGAATGATTATAAAAGCTATAATTTATAATAATAAATGGTTGATGACAAATAGAATACAATAGAATTAACAAGATTTATGTTGGCCCTGGTTCGATTAATCAGAGTAACATTTTAGTCCAGGCTTTAGCTGATGTTTCGATACACAACATAGAATAATAAGAGATAAGATTAAAGTGCAACGAACCATAAATGCATATATTTAGAGTAGGATATTTCGAAAAATGATGAAAAGCTCGCTTAAACAAATTGCTCCCTTACTTCCTATGACGCTAAAATTAATCGTTGTTTCATTGTTAAACTCCTTGAGCTTTCAACTCAGACTTAGATGCGCCTTTTATCAAATAATTTTATAGGGCAGTATGTACTAAATATTATACAAGTATAAAGATATTGAACTTACATTTTTGGAACACTCTAATCGTTTTAGTTATTATGCGGTGTCAATAAAGCAAGCAAATAATGTGCAAACATGGCCTGGGGAGTCAGGCCGGCCGATGTCGATGCCGGCGTCGACGTCTCGACGTCGACTACGACTGCATAATGCAACAAACTTCCGCTCCAGCGACAAAGCGCACGCTGAGAGCATAAGTTAACAACAGAGCGGGTGTCATGTTTTGTTGTTGTTGGTTTTGTTGAGAGCAAAAAAGCTTTAATTTTGCTAGTCACGTTGAATTTTTGATTAACAGCCGGTGCGAAACTCGCTCTGCGGCTAACTGTGCGTTGGTATGTGTGAGAGTCTTTCGTTCTAGTTAAGCAGAACATTGGACGGTTGGTTGGTTGGGGATCTAATTTTAAAGCTGCAGGAAAAAGAGTTTGTTGGCGAAAAATGCAAACGAAGAAAACTTACATGGCTGCATTGGTTTCAGTAAATAAAGAACGTTCGAGGCGATCGCAACGTTCGGCTACAGAACTGAAGTTAGCTTTTTCAAAGAGCACACAAATGTGAGTGTAGAGTCTAAATAAAGCTTGGCTCAATAGTTCAATGCACGGACACATGTGTACACACAAACTCATATACACACATATGTACATACATATATGTATGTATGTTGTATCGTATTGTAAGAGACTTAGCTAAGAAGAAGAACAACAACTCCTTTTGCAGCTGCAACAATTGGCTTCGTCATTTTGGTGTCAGCGACCAACTCGTTCAGGAGCTTGGCGGTCTGCAAAAGCTGCGCATCTGTTTCAGGCATTTCAACCAACGCAAGGAAATGGCCAAGACGCGCATCAAAAACACGCCACTGCGCACTGCCAAGGTCGAAGCAGCAGCAGCAACAACAACAACAACAACAGCAACACCAACAACAGCAGCTGGCTCTAAGCAACAGCCCATAGTCGACAGCACCACCATAGAATTGGTCGAAGTAAGTAACAGAAGCTTTTATACACTGTAGCCGGCGCGTGAAAGGGCATACTAGAAAGTGAAGAACGCCAAATGTATGTAACGGGCAGAACGAGGCGTGGCCGACGCAGAGATGATTCGATAGACATGTCCGTCTGTATGAACGCAAATAACTTTGAAACTATAAGAGCTAGGGACTCCAAACTTGGTATGTAGACTTGTTTTAACCATGTACAGGTCTAGTTTACTAGATTATTTTACATATATATTATGTTATATTTATATTTTACATGTGTTTATAGGTTCGATTGGTACAAATGCCACTCTTAGAAGAATAACTTTTTTAGTTAGAAACACTTTGTTAAGTGTCTGCTTATATTCTACAGTTTCATAAAAAAAACTGCTTTCTATATGATATAGCTGCCATTGGCACGATCGGGGAAACTATTAACTTAGTAGCATAACTTTTCGTTTACAAAGATATCTGCCATATCTGGTATTTACGAGGGCAGTCCGAAATGTTTTCAGCCGGACTCCTACATGAACCAAACTTTGGTAAGGCATTTTTAAAATATCAGTCAATAGTGATTTTTTAAAATGGAAAAAGAAATCAGAACGAGGTAGACGTTGTCTATGGGGACTCTTCCCCATCAGCTGCAACTGTTCGGTCCTGGGCACCTACATTTTAACGTGGACGTACAAGCTTCAGTCGCCCGCAAAGCCTAAACATTTTTTTTCTATGTTTAATAAACATTAAAAACATCGGCAAAATTCGGCAAAAGGTTGTGGACAACCGCCAAATCAAAGAAGAGAGATAGTTGAGATCAGAAAGATATCTTAAGGGCGCGTTTTCGCAAAAAACGTCGATGCATCGATATTTTGGAAAAAATAAAACTTTCCATAGAAAAATAAGCTCATATTAGGGAGAACATTAACCGAAATGTTTTAAATCAAAATGATTATGTATGAAAACCGGCTCTCATAGTAGTTTACTTAATGTTCTTAACAAATAACCAGTAATCGTAATCCTGACTTTTGATGAACTTGTAAGGTTCACTTAAAAATACATACACATACATATACAGTTTTAAAAGCAAAACAATCCTACCCATTTTAAGAATATTAAACGAAGCTATACGAATCAAAATTAAGATGAAATGCCTAACAATCTAAAATATGTTTAACAAAATACACATTTTAAAGAAAACATCAAAAAATGTATATACAAATATACCTTCTCCGATAAACCCCACAAAAATAATGACCGCTTAACAAAACATTTTACATGTTCGATGTTTCGACAAACATCGATGAAGTAACGATGTATCGCAAGCAAAAAAACATCGGAAAACATGGATACATCGTGTTAAAAACATTGTCGATGTTCGATACATCGATGTTTTTTGTACATCCCTACATTATAGGAGGTGCTGTAGGGTGGACACTAGAGCTGGAGAAACATCGATGTTTGAAGGAGAAGAACATCGATTCATCAATGCATCGAACTTCTAAAGAATTTTAAGGTTTTTTATTAAATACAAAAGGTTTCAAAACACACGATATTTTCACAATTTCAAAGAATGTAACAGAAACCAAAGAATGTAATACAAAAATAAAAATTCCTTGGTAGACAAGTAGTAAAGAACATCGGGAATAAAACATTGATGTTTAAAAATATATCATAACATCGATGTATCGATCTTATATCGATGTTTCGTCCAGCACTTGTGGGCACAGGGTACTCAAGAGTCGGCAGGCACGACTCTAACTTCTCATTGTTTTCTTTCACTTAAATATAAGTAACATTATTACCATTCACATTTCTAGAGCCCCAGCACGCGTTCAAAGCTGCAGCAACCGCTGCTGCCTCTGCAATCTGTAACCACCATAACGGCGGTGCCGCCTCAGCGTTCGCACTCCATTTGCTCCTCCGGCTCGAGCGATGTGCTGTCCATCAGCTCGGACTACGAGGCCAGTATGCCGCTCTCCAGCCTGGACAATGCCAGTCCACAGCCGGCCGTGCCCAAGAATGCTGGCAAGAAGCGGAAACTCTATCTGATAACCGAGAAGCAGGAGGGGGAGCGGGCGGGCAGCGAGGGGAGTGGACAGAAGCGTAAGATGCTTGTCGTCGTCGAGGAGGAAAAGAAACTTATGATTGTCACCGACAAGCCGCAACCCAACCTGGCCGAGCATTTGGAAAAGTTTTTGCCGGAGATACTTAACCGCATTCAAGACAAACAGGCTAAGCAGCAGCAACAACAACAACAGCAGCAGCAGCACCAGCCGCCACAACAACAGCAACAACAACCCATGCCAACCATCAAGGAGAAGCCGCACATAACTTTGCCACCCAAAAAGAATCCCACAAATTTTGTCAAAGCCAAGCCCACACCAACAGCCATGGCCAGCATATCCCCCGTGCCGGCCATTAACAATAATCTCAGCTCGCCCCAAGCCCACACTCCATCCTCGCAGTCGGCCGAGGACGCAGCAGATATCGGCATATTGGAGACGAACATAAATCTATCGCCCGATTTTCGTTTCCTCATGAAAATTCTGCCCAAGCTCGAACAGCTCCCAGAGCCACAGAAACAATGCGTTAAGCGCTCCATTCAGATATTCGTCGACAAGAGCTATAGCATCTATGCGAAGAAAAAGTAGACCAGATTTAGTCTTAGATTCAGACTGGTTTCCCAGCAAGACTTTGCGGAAGTTTCCTTTGAAAAGTTTTCCAAATCATTTGGATTTTTTTTTCGAACGCAATGAAACATTTTTATTTTTCAATTTCTTTTATTTAAGACTGATGCAGAACCAATTTATCATACATACAAACACACTTATATACCATATCTGTATGTATTTCCTATAAATGTATAACTTAGTTACCGCAGTGCGGCTAATAATTAAGCAAAAAAAATTTGAATAGCTCGGCAAACACATACGATCCGATTCAGAAATATGCGAATCTTTTTTGTTAGCCACACACTAGTTTTAAGGCAAAAGTGAAACTGAATACTATTTTCGATATTGAAATATATGTTGTAAAAAGAATACAAGACACTGTATTTTTGAAACTAAAAACAAGTTGCAATCAATTTTTGTCTGTTAGGTGTTTTTGAAATGTCTGTGATTGTGGAAAATCCAATAGCATTTCTTACATTACAGGTTAATCTTCATACCTTGATTTGTACTAAAACTGACTTGTTTTTTTTTTTCAAATTAAGGTTGTTTTTGATTAATTAACGGCTCGAAATTTGAATTTAAATCAACCGTTGCAGTGGCTCCATCTTGTGTGCAGTGGCTACAAATGATACGAATCAAGCAGTGCGCGCACACGCAACTTTCGCCAAGCAGTGATATTTCAATTGAAATCAAATTAATGTTCTTTCGAGTGCTAAATAATAATAATAATAATAATTTATGCTTTGCAACGCTCCCCCATTTCCGCTCCGCAATTATTTTAAGATAGTGAAAACTCCCTGAATGGACACTTCTTTTATCCGGACACCTTTTTTAAAAACATTCGACACTTCCCTTGGGCGGACAAAAATTCGCCGACTCACGGTCCGGCCAAGAGAGTTTTCACTGTAATATACAATTTTACAAAACTTTATTCAGTTCGAAAGCATTTTTACTATTATTCAACTGATACTATGCGCCATCTTGTGTCCCGTGGCTGCAGCTGATACAGACAAAGCAGTGCTCGCACTCTGTTTCGTAAAGCAGTGAAATTCGAAATGGCGCTTCATCTCAATTTTTAAGTCGTAGTGATAAATAAAAAAAATTTAAATTAATAAAACCTCCCCTTCATTTAAAAAAAGGGACACAATCAATTTTTGTTTTGCATCTTTTTGGTTTTGCATTGTAATTCCAAAGAACTTTATTTAGTTTGAAAGCATTTTTACTGTTTTTTCTTTCGTTTTTTCGTTTGTTTGTTTGTTTTTTTTCTTTTCCATATACGTTATAATAATATTGTTAGTAAGTCTAATGCCGGGTTTCTGGATGTGTGTAATATATAATGGTTAGTATGTGGATTTTTTTTAAGGTATGTTAATTAATGGGGTTTTTGGAAAAATCGTGGTTTATTATTTTACTCAGATTTACAATTTATGCGGCATTGTTTGAACCGACTTCTACATATTTATGTATGTATATATATACTTGTATATGTATATATAAATACGACAAAAAGTTAATTATGCATGTTTGTTGTTGTTGTATTATTGCTGTTTATTATTAGTTATTATAATTACATATATACATTTAAACAGTGATTTGTTTAATTCAGGTTTGCGGGGAAACCCAAAAGAAAATGCTGAGGTGAGGGAACTTGTGCAACATTTTGGATACAAGTATGTATAGTTATATATATATATATATATATATTATTATATATATATATATTATATATATATCTATATATATATATATATAGTATTATATAATATATCTAATATATATATATATAAATTATTGGTTATACATATATATATATCTATATCTATATATATATATATATATATATATATATATATATATATATATATGTAGTTATTTATAGGTATTATACAACATTTAGCAAATTTGTAAGCGTTTTGTTAACTACTTTTACTTGCTTTTCTGTTAATTTTTTATACACGCTCGCTACTTGGTTTAAGAAAAATACACACCGCTTTACATTTTGAACTCAATTAATGAGAAGCAATCACAAAGGTTTCTATATTCTTGTATATATATATATATATATATATATATATATATTCACGCTGATTACATATTTGTTTGGTTTGTTTATTTATTTACACAATAATTAGTTAATTAGCTTTGCGAAAAATGGGGACGCTGAGAGAAGCTGCCTTCGTACTTCAAATTGTTTGTTACTCAACTTTAGGGGGAGTGGGGGGTTCCTTTCTTCTTCTTCTTCAACTACATCTTCCTCTTCATATTCTTGTTGTTATTGTTGTTAAAAAATGTGTGTGTTACAATTTCTACAAACAGCCTTTTGTTAAACATGTTAAACGTCTCTATAATGCTTTACTATTATCATGCAAATCGTTTATCGTTCGCGTGCAGATCGTGTATTCCTATATACACGTATATTTATTTATTTATATATATATATATATATGTACTATATGTATGTGAGTATATAAAACGCATCATATGAACTTGGCTGTGCTACTACGAATGCTATTATTTACTTCATATTTGTTTATAATTGTTGAATTTAATTTTTACATGTTTTTCATAACCTGAGCGCAATTTTTTGTTTCTCACTTAAGAAATGTTCTTTAAGCTGTTTTTTCCACTACCTGTGGCAATTTTTGGGAGGCCCTTTATAAGGCGGGAACCCTCCGTTACCAATTAAAATTGTATCCAACAAATTGTCATGTTTTTGTTTTCTCTTTTTTTTTCTTGTATAATACATTTTTGAAATTTGCCTTTCTTCAGCTACACAAATACTAATATTCTATATATATGTAGCCAGAATGAGATTTATAGATTTTTATTATTCAGTTATGCATATATATATATATATATATATTTGCCTTTGAAGCTGTTTTATTTTTTTTCATTGGACATATTGTCGATTTTAAATACATACAAACATGCACATGTATAGTACAGAGTGTGGGTTCGTTTTTGGGACTCTTGAAACTATAGAGTGTCTAGAAATTGTAGTTACATTAGAAACTATTTATAGAACCTTAGGCTAACTAAAAGGTTAAAAAAAATAAAATAAACATTTTCACATCGAGCAGGCCTGTTCTTTAGTCCTCATTCCAGTTTTGTATAAATCTCCAATTTATATCTTTTTGGAAATTTCGGAATAAATCCCAGCCAATTCTTATGCACTTTCTCTCACAGTTTTTCAAACTTTCGATAGGTCTGATGGTTTTGAAAATTTCTCACAGAACCTACCAAGAAAGCTGTACTTGCTTTCCAGGAATTATCCGAGAATGAATAGGAATGTATCTGGAAATACATTCGAGAGTATTGGAGTGCTTCTTAAAGATATTTTTCCCATATTTTGCTTTAGTCTAGCTCGTATATCTCTAGTCGTATTTAAGTAGTTTCTCCATTGGAGCAAATGATTCAAAATAACCTTCCCCATTGAAAAAATGTTGCAAAAGCCATCTCCAACATACATACCTACTATATACTATATAATAGTTGCTATTTATTGAGTATAATACGTCTCTCTAGTAGTTGCGGAATGCATATCTAAATGGGCTATAAATTCTAATTGCAAATGCATTCATTCATTGGGTTGTGAGTACACGAAGTGAGTGGAAAATAAAATAAAACGAAAATGGAATTTGTTGTTTTTTCTTCTTTTTTTATACAAACATTTTACACAGTTTTTTTTGTTTTTATTTTGCAGCCATAACATAAATTATATTATTCTCATACGTATTCGTTTAATTAGTTAGTGGAGTACGTCAATTGATTCGTTCAAGTAAAATACTAATGCAGTTTCCTTTCTGGTTGTGGTTGTTGGCCTTAAATGCTAATACAAAAATTATGCCTAGACTGGCTAGAAACTTAAAGAAGATTGGCAAAAACTAGTGACGACTACGCGCCGATCAATCGAAATCAATCAAATCATACTCGTATTCATATTCGTATTCATATTCATAGTTCATAATTCATAGTTCTATGTGAATCGTATATGTGTGTTTATATTACATTTACAATATTAGCATTAATTAGTGTTAATGTACTCTTTCCTTTCTTTTCCTTTGCTTTGCTCTACTTTTCTTTCTTTTTGGATAGCATGTCAAAGATTTGTGTACATTATTATTATTCTTCTTCTTCCTCTTCTTCTTGTACTAAATCTAGGTCGGGAGAGTAATGTACTTGGTGGGGTGTTAATGTTATGTACATGGTGTGTGCTTAAGTTGAAAGAACTCATTATTATCCGTTTATCCTTATCATGTTTTTACAATAATCATATATAGGTATGTGTGTATATAAGTTGCTGTGTATATTATGTGCTTACAGTGCTAATGTGGATGATTTTCTTTTAGTGTAGTCGGTAAACATAAAAAACGTAAGGTTTTTAGCAACCCTTTTCTCTTTCCTTAATTTGTTTAGCTTGCTTAGATGAGTGTGGGAAAAACTTTATTCATATCTATACGTACGCATATTTATGTATGTATGTATGTATGTATATAAGAAAAATAGCGGCTATATTGAAAATGAAAGGAAAATCGTTTGAAAATTCGCATTTCTCTGATTTCCATTTGCTGTTTCTTTTTCTTTTTTTGCTATGAGATCTCCGTGAAAGTTTGAATTGATGTTTGTTTTTGTTTTTCTTCGCTAAATTAATTAATTAATTAATATATGCAATTAAACTACTTAGAAGGTTGTGAAGGAAGGGCGGGCGATGTCTGAGTTCGAAAATTGAATGGATGACAAAGCTATAAAGCAGCTTAAAGCGTTGAGTGTACAGTGAATCATGTGAGTCATATGGAAAAGGGAGTAATTGATTGCTATCCATTTTTAGAATCACTACTCAGAGTATTATGAGTGCACTCAAGCACCCACATGATTGAGCTTGCGATTGACATGTGTGGAGAAATGTGCTGGAAATGTTCGTTTGTAGTGCATTCAAAGACTCATGCAACGCAACTAAAAAAAAAAACGCTTTCTTTTGAATGCACTCATTGCGATTCGTGAGCAAAATTTAATAACGTTGTTTCGCTTGAACATAACATTTTCGGTGCAAGTGAGTGCACTCAAACACTCATGCATTAACATGAAACATTGCTAAAATGAATGGCGAGTATAAATATGGCGCTTTTTTTTCTACATCTACCTTTAGAACGCCTGCGGGTGCACCCAAACACTCGCTCTTCATCGTAAATCATTGCTAACTTTCCCTTCAATGACTTCGAGTGCACTCGAACACTCAAGTATTAGCATGCATATTTGCAATCACATCAGTAGTGCTGAGAAATACACTAATATACCTTTTTTGGGTGCACTCTAGCACTCACTTATTGTTTAGAAATACTTGTCAAAGCTTTAAAACAAAACATAATTTTGTTTGTCATTAGAAACATTGCCAGATATTAAATATTCCATTTGAATAGGTACAGTTACGTTAGCTCTACAAAATGTGTGCTCCTTCATTGAATACAGGACATAAACGCACACCCATTTACAATACGATACGATACGATCTACTAATTTATAATTTGAAGTTACGATTTCACGAATAGAATTTTCTCCGTTTTTTATGAATATAATTAGTATTTATAGATATTGCATATGCTTGTCAACCATCTCTTTTGTAAGGAAATGAGAGAACTCAGTCTTAAACTTATTAGTTGAAATTGTTTATAATTTTTTCTTTCAATTTTTAGGCAATGAACAAGTCTGTAGAGTCTGTAGAGAAAGAAATTGGTTTCAAATGATTCGAATTGTGTGCTTCTATGTACAAGGATTGCCGTTTAAAAAATTATTGTTCACTTGTTCTTTGCCGTTGAGGTTGGGGCTCTACTTAGGATATACATATATAAATGATGTCGGCGTAGAAGTGCTTTCAAGAAATTAAACTATATTACATTTTAAATTAGGCGCAAAAATACAAACTAATTGAAATGGCAGAGCGTTCAAGACGCGTTGTCAGGCACACACACAAACACACACATTCCCACACTCCCAGCTGGGGCAGACGGTTTAGAACAGCTGATCAGAACAGCTGACCACCTAGCTGAGTGGTCTGCAGGTCTGTGAGTGCTGTTTGGTGTCTGCAACTTTGAACGCTCGCACATTCTTCACTGGGGGGCAGTGTGTCGTCCACTTGTTGTTTTTGTTGTTGTTGCTGTTGTGTTTGTTTAATGACAACTTATCAGTTGAAATGTACATACATATAGCTACAAGTATAATTCATACTCTCATACATAAAATATATTATCATTAAAAATCTAAGACAGCAGACAGATCTAGACAGACCGTAGACAATAGAGGGGTGCGGGAAAAAATGTTATAAATTGCTAAAAAATTGTTCTCATTTTTTTTTTTATTTAATTATCATAAAACTAAACTTTTACTTTAATGTAGTATTATTAATGTTGCTTGTTTGCTGTTAGTTAGTTGGCTGCATAAATTGTCATAACTAAGGGTTACAAATAAAATGTAAATTGGCATAAAATTTATGCTTAATAATCAGTCCACAGTTAGGTTTAATAGTAATAGTAATAATAATAATAATCGTAATAATCATAATACAAGTATTTTAACTAATTTGAAATTTGAAGCCAATTGTTAATTAACATTTTGAGTTCTTCTTGTTTTTCTTTACACGCACACATATACAGTTAAATATGTATATATAATTATATATATATATATAGTAGTTATATGTGGCATATCATATACATATACGAGTATATATATATATATATGGTATGTATATATGCCAGATACAATATAGAAACCAGTTTCAAAATTGAAGCACAAATTTAAATGAAAATTTCTGCATTCAGCGTCTCAACTAATTTCAAATTAGTTCTCGCTTATTTCTCCCTTGCTGTTTATATCATATTTTAAGCTTCTAGACATTGATTTTTTCCTTTATACACAAATATGCGTTACTTGCTTGTTAAATACACGAAAAAAAATTCTCATACATCATAGCTTTTTGTTGTTAAATATGCAAAAAATGTCGACATAGTGTTTAAAAGATTTATGCTTTCTATTTATTTGTTATTATTATTATTAGTTTGTTTTCGCTCGCTTTGAGGTAAATTTGGCAAACATTCGTATGCTTTAAGTCAGACCACACCCTTTTTCCTTTTTCATTCAAAATCAATTGTAAAATTTTCAAAAATGCTCAAATACTATGGAACATTCAGTGGAAGAATTTAAATGAAGCTCCTCGATTATCTTCAGAAAAGATGATGTGCTTAACAGATTTGAGCTCTCGCTCTCTCTTGCTTTCTTTCTCTCTTTCTCTTACTTTGATTTCTCAAAAGAATACTGAGTGGGTGACAATTAATACGTCATAATCTCCTTTTTTAAATAGGAAATTGATCTTTTCAAGCAGAACACTTTTTTAGATCAACTGTAGATAATCAGAGATCATTTGTAGATGATCAGAGATCAGATGATGGATCGAATGCAGCAGATTCCGTAACGAGGGAAAAACTCTAAAGACTTAACTACGGTTTCAAAATTTGTCTCAGTTTTTGATCTGATGCTACAAATCGATGGACCTGCTGAAGGAGGGATAATCTCTTGTCTTAATATCCCTTTGATCACCTCTGTATTGCAATGAGATATAGGTTTTCAAAGTAGGGTAGTTTTTAAGTTCAATTGTATCGAGATGATGAATCTTTTGCTGAATATTTCTTTTTCTACAAACTTACCCATGATGTCATGCACATATGCTCGCTTTTTATGTGAGATTTAAGACGTTTATTGTTTTCATCTCTTCAGTTCTTAAAAAGTGGTTGATGAAGTGATTGCTATTTGAGTCCTTGGAGACAAAATGATGGCATTTTTCTGACGCTCTATCCTTTTAAAGAATGCTTAAATATTGACCAAAGCCTTCTGCGTTGAGTTAAAATTTGATCACTGAATAGCGATCGAAAATGTTTACGAAAAAGTGATACGAAAATGGACCGCATTTGACGTTTAGTAGCATTATGGGTATCACTATTTAAAGTAATACGAATTTAGATTTTTACGAGTATTTCACAATTGATTTTGTCGCACTTGAAGAAGCATTGAAATGTATCCTTTCCAAATAGGCAGGTCTGCTTAAATGTGTTGTTGTTTGTTAATATTTTAATGTTCTTTAAATGTAGTTAAGTTGCGTAAATGTGTGTGTGTTGCGAATTGTTTAATTGCTAATTATTTTACATATACAGTAGAGACTTTTTAAGCTTAACATAAAACGTAATTTTGCTTTAATTTTGTTTGCTCTCTCTCTCTCTCTCTCTTTATGCCAATTGTTTGTTTAATTTTTATTTTATTATGGTTCGTTTCGTTATCTTTTATGTTTTTGTCAAGCACAACAAATTTTGCTTTGTTGCCGAAAATGTTAAATGTTTAATTTTGTTTAATTTTCTTGCTACGCTCACAATATTTATGCGTAGTCTCTTTAGTTTTGTTTTTCTTGTTCTCTTGCATCCTCATTCCATCGATCTATTCTGTTATTGTTGCTGCCTCTACCTCGTCTCCTCTTCTCTCCTTTCCACGTGGTTCTCTTCGGTTCTCTTCTCTTTAAACTACTTTCGTTTTTAGACTAGTTTGAGTTGAGTTACGTTACATTTTGTTTGTTTGTGTGTGTGGTGTGTTTGTTTGTTTGTTGGTATTGTTGTTATTTTATGCCTATTTCATACATCATTTTATGTATTTGCTTGATTTTCGGTGGTGGAATGCATTTGCTTTTGCTTTTCTCTTTTTCCTAACAGACTTTTGAAAGCGCACCTCTGTAGACGACGCTTTAAGTTTCTTTTTAAATCGAATCGTTGTTTCTTGAGTTGCTGCTCCTCTCTCTCTCTCTCTCTCTCTTGCTCTTTACTAAACTTAAGACTAATTATGTTGTGTTGCTGTAGTTGCTTCTGCTGCTCTTTCTCTCTCTCTTTCTTTTCGTTCTCTTTCCGGACTGTCGTCAAATACGTAGCTTTTAAGTTGTCCTTTGTTTTTGTTTTTGGTTGGCGCGCGAACTTTCTTTCTTATACATATATTGAAGTTCCTCTCTCACGTTCTCTCCTCCGTTTACAGTTAGTTTTGTGTTCATTTTGGGCTCTTGGTTGTTTTGCTTTTCATATTTTAGGCAGCAATCGCCTCATTTTGCCGTCATTCCCATTGGTGCGGTGAGGGCGGCAGCTCCGAAGGATGTGCCACAGTGGAGCTAGTCAATGGAATCATCGGCAAAAATAAAAGAAATAAATAAACAATTAGTACAAATATGCAATGGAGCTTTTCAACAATATTACTATTAGCTACAAACGAATATGTACAAACAAACATGCATATAAAATGTCAATTAAATCTAGATATGTGCACATACATACGAGTAGTATACGAGTATGTAGTTATAGTTAGAGAAGCATTAAGCATTAACATACATACATACATATAGATAAAAGCGTTGCGCCCACAACAACAACAACAACAACAACAACAAAATAAACATAAATATGCCTTAAGCAATATATTAGTTTCAACATTTAATTTTGGAAAACAATGAAAACTATATTCGTACGGATATAGAATGAAAACAAACAGACAAACACAAAACTACAATAGATTGGAAAATTTGGTTCAACAACTGAAGACAAAACAAAAAGCAACAATTATAAAAATAATATAAATAGTAATAATAATATTAACTAACAATAATCTATTTTTTCATTTGATTGTGGAAATTTGTTTAAGCGTTCAAACTACTCTGACATCGTCACTGCTGCTCAACTGCACTGAATTGGATATTGGATTTGGTTTCGACTTTGATTAAAATTAGCTTTAGCTTTAGGCTGGCATTGTTTTAAATTTATATTTTTGCTGTTTGTAGTTAGTAACTGTTTCTCAATATGTGGGTGGTGGTAATGGTGTTGTGAGCAATTTTCAAAGCTAGGCCATATCGTTTAGCAGCTGCTTTTATCGGCATACTATATTCCAAAAGTTAAGAGCTACTTGGCTGTAGAGGGGGTTGGGGCTCGGTGCGTGCGAATGTGTGTGTTTGGATTTTCAATAAGGTGTGTTAATGAGAAAAATGTATCTATAATAAAAGGCTAACATAACAAATGAGCGCTTTATAGCAATTGCTTTTCAATTTGCAGTACAATGGGTTGCAAAGGCAGTTTAATAACGTTTTAGGTTTCTCTTAACAATAATATGATTTCTTTTTTAGATTTTTTAAACTACAGAAACTTAAATTATATGTTTTTGAAGCTAAGTAATTGCTATTAATGTTTTATAAATATTAATTCGTTTGATTTTATAGGTTTCTCCAATCATTTTAATTTCCATACAAATTTATTTACATTTTCTAATCTTCTAATCATTCTTTAATTAATTTAAAATCGGACCTGTATTTGTTTCGTAAATCGATTCGCTAAGGTTTTAAATAAATTGTAAGAATACTATTAAAACAGACTGCTTCGAGTTGACAAAAAATTATTTTTTATTTTAATCGAAAAAAAAGCAGTCCATTTATCTTACAAACCAAATGTTAAAGGCTCAGAATTAAGATCTTTTAAGCGACTATCATAAAAGAAAGCTCTGTCTGTTAGCAGAGAGTTTTGAGCAAATTGATGCTAAGAGCAGGTGAAAGCAATTGTCTTAAAGAGAACAGGCAATTACATTTAATTTACAGTGCAGATAAATGCTCCCCACTTTACAAAATTATAAGCATTGTTTTCGTTCTATGCTTAAAGAAACTAAAAGAGCACCTGCAGTAAGAGAGTGCTCTGCCTGCCATCAGAGAGCTTTGGGCGAATTGATATTGAGAGCAGGACAAACAAACTAACGTAAAGATAGCACTGCTAATTACTCTACTAATTACTCTATACTTTTAAAAACAATATGCGCTCTCTCTCTCCTTGCTAGGCTCCAAGAAAATAAAAGAGCCGACTAAAACTGGAAGTAGAAATATTGTTAAGCTATATTATTATTTCTACTATAATTTGAACTGCTTTGTCTTTTCAAAAATGCTGTCTGTAAAATAAGATATATGCAGTTTTTAAAGTGTAGTTTGCAACTAAATTGAAAATAAATGTTTTGCTTAAGAGTTATTTCCATAAATTTAGGATTTGAGCTCGAGATTTCTTCTCTTCAAAGCGATTGGATTCTCTTTCGATTGCTTACCATTGTACTGCATAGCTTGTTTGATTAACTTTTAGTGTCTCATGTGAGTGTGCATAATTTGTTTATGTACTTATGTTATAAAATATATATAAAATGTATTTGCATGTTCATGTGAATTTTCGGGTATGGAATGAAAATATGCTTATTTAATGCTGTACACATAGTATGAGAGATTAAAACATAAACACAAATTAAGATGAGCATTCAATGAGTTGTTTTTCGATTTCTTTGGTTTTTACTGCGCTCTCTTATGAAATGTTGAAAATGTCTGCCATTTGTGAATTTGGAATTTTTGATGAACTGCTTTTCGAGTCGAGGCCAATTAGCATTTAATGTTTCTCTCGTTAGATATTGGAAGCCAATGCTTTGGGACATTTATGAACATTTGCATAACATATTGATATACATATGCGGGATATATATGTACGAGTTAGGTTTGCCTTTGTTTTTAAACATTTATGTACACAAATATAGATACGCAAAATACCCATTAAAAATTAGAACTAAAAGTAAAAGAGATTTATACACATTTGCATTTGTAAAACATATATGTAGGTACTTATCAAAAAAAAAAGTTAAAGTTAAGAAACATAATAAATAATAATATTTATATGTAAAAAAAATATATTTAGTCGCTTTGGTTTATTAACAGACCTAAGGCGAGAGAGCGCGCGAGCGGAGCTGCTGTTGAGGTGGCCCCCAGCCACGCCCCCATGATCTTGGTACTTGGTTCTTGTTTCTTGGCAGTTTGTGACTTCTGGCTTATGTGGGGCTTCATTCTGTCTCTGAGAGAGAGAGACACTCTTGAGAGTTTCGTTTTCTTATGCTTTACAAGTTTTCTTTTTAAGAGAGCGCGCGCCTAGGCAGGTTGGGTCTCTGCGGCAAAGCGGCGGCAGCGGCTTGGGCAGCGACCGATACTGCGACTGCAACCTTGAGGACGACGTTGACGCGACACGCAACTGTGACTGCGACTGCAACTGCGACAGAGCAGCGACAGCGACAGCGGCAGGAGCAGCAGTGCAAGTTGTGGTAGTAGTAGTAGTGGTAGTAGTAGTAGATATTCTCATTCTCATTGGCTTAACAACGCAAATATAATAATTAAATTTAATAGAATTTGTAAGATTAATATTATGGTATCAACAAAATAAACAATAACAATAAAAGATAAAGAGAATATTAAAGTGTTGTAACAATAACAAAGTACAGCAAATGAAACAGTTAGGTTGTGAGAAACAGAACAAGAAAGGAGAGAGACTTTAGTGAGAGAGGAATAAAGAGACCAAGTGGTAGAGAGGAGAGGCGCTTCTAAATAAAAAAAAAAAGTTGGGACTGAACAAAAATGTGAGTGTTTGAAAAGCATTTGAAATAATTTTACATATTTTTGAAATGATTTCCATTCTCCCTCCTCATCGAACAGAAAAGCATCTTTAACGAATTCGTAATGAAAGAAAGAAAAAAAGTAACAAGAAAACAATAAAACAACGCAAATAATTCAAAGAAGTAGAGAAAAGTTACGAATAGCTTAGGGCTTGTTGGACGACGTGTTTGTTTCATTTAGAATTTATAGGAACTGGGGCGCGGGACGCAGCGTGCAGCATTTTGTTAAATGTTCCGACTTACCTGGCAAAGCTCTTAAACGCCGCACTCTGTGGATTGATGCACAACGGTACTCGACCCGTTTGCAGTTGCTCGGCAATAAATTTGTGCATCTCCTCTGCAATATCAATGGCAATGGCAATGGCAATGCGAAGATAGAGTATTTAAAACATTACACTTTGTAATCGAAAATAAATGGATGGGCAGCTCTCACCTTTCACCTGCTGCACTGAGGTCAGCTTGCGCTCCCACAAATCATCGAAGGGCTGACCGGCCGACGGCTCAAAGTCCGCCGTATACTGACGCATGCCAGCCGAGGTAGTGAAGCAGCACTTGCACATGCACGAGTGATAGCGCAGACGGCCCTCGTCGAGGTAGGGATGCGCCAGGGCATCGGTGACTGAAATGCGCTTGTCCTGTTTCAAATTAGAAATTAATCGATTAGTTCCATTAGTAGAGTTGAATGTGACATTTTTTGTTGAGTTTTAGATTTTATTTTATTTAATTTATTAAAATTCTCCAAAAGTACCGAGGCTTGTAAAGAATGTGCCGATTCTATAACTTTTGTAGATATCGTGTTATTTTTTTAAAAATAAATGATAGTATTAGGGATATTTTCTTGACGCTCAAAAATCAGCAAACTCTTAGAGGCGCATACAATTTTTGCATTGGTTGCTAATTGTATTAAACAAGCTTTTAAAAATTATGTATGTATCCTTGTTACTTCTAAAAATATGAATCGATTAGTTCCATTAGTACTATCAATTAGGCATCGATCGCTATCGATAGGTGCAAACGTTGACAAATACTATACTACATTTTGACATTTCTTGTTAAGATTGAAATTGAAATTCTCTAAAAGTGCCGAAGTTAGCTGAGAATTTTGTAGATATCGTACAATTTTAGAATGTATTATTTTTTGAAAATAAATTATAGCATTAGGGAAATTTTCTTGACTGCTAAAAAATCAGCAAACACTTAGAGGCACACACAGTTTTTGAATTAGTTGCTAATTGAATTTAACAAGCTTTTAAAAAATATTCGAACTTTGCTGAAACTTTTGTAGACCCCACAGTTTGTTTAAGACGTGCTTTAAAGATTCAATCATAACATATGTAACCCATTGAATTATCCCCTCCACAATTAAAAATGTATTTACATTCCTGTTAAGTTTTTTTCGAAACACCCCCCAAACTAGTGCTTCCAATTGTCAATCATAATCCTAAATAATGACAAATACTTACCGGATCGAAGACCAACATTTGACAGAGCAGATGCACCGCCTCGTGTGTGGCGTGTGAGCTGAGCGTGTAGAGCACTGAGAAGGATGGCGGCTTGGGGGCACGACGCAGCATGTGTGTGCGGGCGCCCTCGCAGGCGTGTCGCATATCCTCCATGGTGGGCGTGCCGAGTAGCTCTGTGATCAGCTCCAGCTGTTGTACGGGATTCTGTGCCTGGAACAGAATGCGACGGCCGAGCAGTTCGCCAAATATGCAACCCACCGACCACACATCTACCGCTGAAGAATAATGACGCGCCCCCATCAGAATTTCGGGCGCACGATAATATTGTGTGACCACCTCTTGGGTCATGTGTTTGGCCTGATCGGGTTCCTCGACACGGGCCAGTCCGAAGTCACAGATTTTGAGCACACAATTCGAGTTGACGAGCAGATTGCCGGGCTTGATGTCGCGATGCAGAATGCGTGCCGAGTGCAGATACTTGAGGCCGCGCAGTATCTGATAGAGAAAGACCTTAATGTGATCGGCGGAGAGATGTTGCGGCGAGACGATTATTTTGTGGAGATCCGATTGTAGCAGTTCAGTTATCACATAGCTATAGTTTTCCAAAGGTTAAGGCAGAACCAATCACATGAGAATTGTGCAAAAAAGTTTAATTGAATTTGTAAATAAGTCACCCAGTAATTGCTTCATACTCTTTCAACTCTTCTATTCTATTTTAAGGCTTCGTATGCTTTATTAATGCCTCCACAAACTTTTTCAATTAGTTTTCGTTTGTTGCGCAACTTTGGTGCTGAAAATAGATTTTTGCTCTATTGCTCACAAAAGCAGGCAACACTTTTTTCCACTCCCACAAAAATTGTTCACTCGCGAGTGGGTGTGAGCTTTGTGTGTGTGTGTGTGTGTGTGTATGTGCCTTGTTTTCGCCAAACTGTCAAACAGCAATAAGTTTGGGTTCTTTTGTAAAATGTTGCCATTGTCTTCAGTTACATAACGCCTGAATATCACTGACTTTATTAAAACCCGAAGTTTACCAAAAACAACAAGAGAGAATGAAACTGTCAGCGAGTATTCGACAAACAATTAAAGTTGTCATTTCAAATCGCTAATAATAGAATCAAACAAACAGCATCAACTTTAACTCTAAGAGTACCGATTCACTGAAAAGGATTTGGGGCATAAGTCCTAATTGATTAGCTTCTTAAGCAAAGAATCTTTACTCAAATATTATGTGACTCGAATGCTGCTATCAAGCGGAAGAAGCCAAATTTTGTGTAAAAGAATAAATGTTTTAAAATTATTCTTCAAGACAATAAGAAAGACCCTGGTGATGTTATAATATTTTGTGTGAAAATTTTTCAAGAAAAAGAAGTTCCTGGTGATGGCCTTCATGTTATAATATTTTGTGTGAAAGCAAAAAAATGTTTTAAAATAAAAAATCTTCAAGAAAAATAAGTCCCTGGTGATTGCCTGCAAGTTGTCATATTCCTGGAAGAATGTACATATATATTCAAAATATATTGATGACGATAACTATATCTGTTGAAGTTTAGATCAAATTGAGAGAAAACAAAAATATTTAGAAACTCACGTTTATTTTAGGGATCAACTGGCAACTTATTGAAGGTATTTTGAAACTAAAGAAGCTGAGTTTAAAAGCCAAGTTGTTATCCTAAGCCCATATTTTATTCAAACAGAAAACTCTGTCTCTGTTTATTAAATACGCTTAAGGATATATGGTGTATGATGACATGTTCAATTCTCTATAATAATCACGGTAGCTGGCTTATTTAGCGGTTTTAGTTTCCCCAATTTTTAGAGACATACAGCCGTCATTTAGTGCATTGAGTTTGTTTGAATTAAAATCGAAAGAATTTGGTTATTTGCCTATCTATTAGGCTATCTGGGAAGCTGTAGATCGATTTTTGACTTGAGCAGGATGTGAATTCTTAGCCGCTGTTGCTCAAGACAAGAAAATGAAATGAAGCTTCTTTGCTTCCGCCTTCGCCTTTTCTGAATAAATATCAGAATTATTTGTATTTCGTACGAATTTTTTGAATACCATAAACAAATATTTACTTTTGGCAAACACTTTAAATGATAGCGTATTATTAACAGCTAAATGTAAGCATTTTCTTAATAAAGAAATTCTTTTCTTTTTATCAATCTAGTCATGAAACACGGCAGCAATAATGTGAGGTAAATTTGAGATTTGAATTACACTTAAAGTTTTGTTTTGTTTGTTTGTAAAAAGGATGCATTTCCTGAAAAAAGTCCAAATGTGGCGGCTGTAAAATATCCAAAGCCGATAGCACCTGAAAAGAGAAATAAAGCAGTCAGTAATTTGTTAATAAATAAAATGTATTGCCAAGTTAAAAAAAAAAGACAGACAACGACGATGGGGATGACTATGGCGACCGCATCGATGCCATAAATTATGCACACAAATAAAAATTTAAAGTGAAAAATATAAGAAATAATAAAAACAAGAGCCAAAGTGGCTGGCAGCGCATCAAATGCGCCATTTAGGTGCATGTTAAGTGTCGCTGCCGGGCAGTAAAAGCCACAAAGAACGGCAGCAATAACAACAACAATGAGCGGAGCAGGAGCAGGAGCAGGAGGAGGAGGAGTAGGACGAACAGCAATGCCTGTTGACCGCTGATGATGTTTAGCTGCAGATACCAAACACGCCACCGTATGCTGCACTTGGGGGAGGTGCAAGCCCAACAAAGTTGTCGACGACTCGACGTCTATATAAAAACGAGACGGCGCGCCACAGCTTGATGGACAGTAAGTCGATTGCAAAACACGCGGCCCAGACCCAGTCAGAGTCAGAGTCACAGACCCAGTGCGAGACCCTGACATGGACAGACATGGGGGACGGCCAAAACCAAGAGCAGACAAGCGCTGATTTATTTTGCTCGCGGTCAAAATGATGAAGGAACTTCGAGTTCGCTTACAGAGTCTCCAGTCCTCCACAGAGTCAACGGCAATGTTCGCAATCACATCAGAAATCTAACAGCAACAACAACGGTGCATGAAGCTGGATCCGTTGCTGTTGTTGCCGTTGTTGTTGTTGTTGTTAGCCAGGTTCTTGCCATTTTTTGCTGTTGTTCCTTTTCACAACAGACAACCTCAGTAGACTGACCGACCGAACAAACGAACAGAACAACTGACTGAATGGCTGAATGACTGACTGACTGACAAGCAGACAAATACATATTCAGGGCAGCCAAAGGGTTAGCGACCACAGCCAAATTGTCAAGCTCTAAATCACTTAAGGAATGAACTGCCAGGGAAAAGTTCACAGGCTCTGGCCAAATGATTTTGTTTTTAAGGGTATGCCGTACAAAAATGTATATAAAATGAAAGAATATGCATTACTTTTAATTTAATTGGAATTAAAGTTCATGGGAATTGTGAAAAGTATAATTTTGTTTGCCTGTTAAATAGCAGAAGTAGGCTTAACCCTTCGTATGTCTATGATGCATATCTGCAACATACCGCTTAAACTGAATTAACTTAAACTTAAATTTGCAAAGTTTCTATTTGTTGTAGTCCTACACATAGTACTTTAAGTGTATTTGATTTGGTTACACCGAAATAAGCAAGTGAATTGACATTATGATCACATTTGGTGCCAATTTTGTGATTCGTGGGATGCAAGCAAATTAGAGAATTTCTGCATTAAATTTGTTAAATATATAAAATGAAAATTTTTTGTTAATAAAATTTTCAATTACAGATTTTTTGACCCCAGAAGCAACTTTAATGTAGAAATGAAACACATCGTTTTTTGTTTAAACAAAATATACAAAATCACAATATTTTAAAAACCCCAAAAAATCGCATATGTTTTTATTTTGCCTTTGCTATCTAATGGAAAAACCCGCATTGAAATCAGGAAAAAAGTCATACGAAGGGTTAAGGTTATTCTACCTATTAAGAACCATTCCCTTCTGAAGTTTAAGATCCTTGCAGAACAAACTAATTCGCAAAAACTTTGTGCAACTCCAGCTTGCACCAAGAACTAGAACTGGGCCCTGTCTGACAAAGATCTTCTATAGTCGGTATATGGACCGCCTGGCAGTCCACAGTAACTCCTATTTAACAGTCGTTGCAAGTTTCAAAGTGCCTCATTGCCTCAAGAATCTTTCTTTAGAAGCCAGTGGAAGAGATCTTATCAGCAATTGCAATGCCTGATTATTACTGGAGATTTCGAACTTATTGATGAAGGGTGTCGGGTCTTTCAGGTTGATTAAGGAATACTTCATTATAATGCATTCATTAAAACCGTCAAAGCTCAAGACTTTGTATGGGCAACCTGATACTTTCAGTACTTTATTGATAAGTGATTTTCTACTATTATTACAATTATTATTGTAGTTCCCCTTCTGTAATAGAACACTTTTATTATTGTTTTAATGCACAAACTCGTCTGGCGGCTCAATTTTTATGGTTTTGTTAAGTCTAGTTAGCATTTTCAAAGCGCTGATATATCGCCGCTTAAACCTAAACTTGATGCCGTCTTGCGACATTATGTATACGCATAAAAAAAAAAGAACAGAACATAACAGAAGAGGAGGGAAGGAAAGGGAAGGGCAGGGAAGGGGAGAGGGCAGAGCATGAAAATCAATTTCCAATAAATCCAAAGTAATCCCAAGCCATTGCCACAATGCCTTCCTGCTGCCTCGCACATCATTTGGGTTGCGATGCTGCAAAGAAACCGCAACACACGCATTTGTCGGCACCATAAGTTGAGGCAAAGGTAAAGCAACAACAGCAACAACAACAACAAGGAGCGAGCAGTCAAAATGTTGCCAGCCACAATGTTGCTGAGGCACAAAACGGTGGCTCTCTGCTTGTCTCCCAGTCCGTCCGACTCCGTCTGCCCATCTGTCGGCAGCCGCAAAAGCAGCTCAACAATTTTGCGCACTTTAAGCGACGCAGCAACGGCAGCAAAGGCACAAAAAGTGCCGCCATCGTTGTTCTTCTTGTTGCTGTTGTTCTTCTTGTTGCTATTGCTGTTGTTGTTGTTGGTAAGCCGTTGCCGTCGCCGCCGTCTTAAGACTTAAGTGGCAAACTTTACCGCTGCTGCATAAAACCGAAAAGCTAAGTGCGAGTTGCTTTTGCTTTTAGAAGCTTTTTTGCTTTTGTTTTTGCTGGCCATGCCACATGTCCCTTCATCTTTTTTTGTTTTGTTTTTTAATTTTACGTTTATTTATTTATTTTTTTTTTTTTGCATCTCTGCATCCGTTGTAATATTTCAATGACTTTGTTTTTGTTGTAATTTACCGAATCGGCACATTTGTTGCGCTTGCGGTTTCATTGAAGCAAGCGGAGAAAAAATTGACGAAGGGGGAAGCCAATTGGCCAGGCAATTGGTCGAGCGCGGTTAAATGTTGGTAAGCTCGATAAAGAGTCCTGCTCCCCATCCTGCCTTATCACGTGCCGTGCCCGGCAATTTGAAATGCACTTTGGCCACAGCTCATTTACATTTCGTGCTGCCGCACAGTGGTTCGAGAACGATAATGCAATTAAATATATAGCTAAAATATAATATTTTTTTTTCTATAGTCCCTATAGTTGTCTCTGATATATTTTTGTATTTGTCATTGTATTTTTTTTTTTTCAGAAATAGAATGCCATTCTACTGTAGCATACTTAGTATGCTGGCATTGAAATTAAAGCATTTGCATTGAAAAGACTCTCCTGTTGCCTAAAACCGTAGCGTTATAAGCAGCCAATGCTAATAAATAAACTTACTGTTTTTCTGTGTAAATGCAAAATATTTAACAAGAGAAAACAATAAAAATAATAAATAATTCTAGCAATAAATAATATTTTCTTTTCTTTCTTCTACATTTGTGAAATGTCAAATATTTTCAAGAAATTTATGAATTAGCAGTAAGAAATAAAGTTTTATTTTACTTTAATTTTTTTCAAAAATTCTATGCCTATGAACAAATGTAGAGCTGAAATGTGAAATACAGAATTCAAAATTAAGGTAGAGCTGACATGTTAAATACAGAATTTTAAATTAATATTGATTGCAAGCGTCTTTTAAAAGAATGAAGATTTACTAAACACAAAAGAATTTACCAAAAACAAACTGACTAAATATTTTTGGGAACATTGTTGAAGCTGTTAAAATATTCAAACTTATATCGTGATTCTATACTCAGCAAATGGGTAATTATTTGGTTAATTTAGGTCTCAGTTCCTTCCAGAACGACAAGAAATAATCTTCCCCTTTTCCTTAGTAGGTGGTAGGTGTACAACTGATAATGCATCGCACAATCCTTTTCGGGTTTAATGCTCATCTTATAATGATTATTTTCACCTGCTCTCAACTGAAATGTTTATTCCTTTAATAAAAGCCTCTCTTTTCAGCCATCTCTGGAATCTCTGACCAGGATCGGCTGTGAGACGGGGCACAGCTAGCCGAAGGGCAAATAATTTGAATAGATTTCTCCTTCTTAGGCTTTTAAGAGATGCTTTTTATAATTTTTATATATTTTCCTCCTATGTCGACAGTTATTGTTTGTTGACATAAATAAATAAATTTGAATATTGATGCCAACAAAAACTCATTTACAGAAACTCATGGCATGAGTACTCTTTCGGTACAAGGTATGGAATTTTATAAAAAAAAAGAAGGAAATTAAATTCGAGTTTCTGGCGCCACTGTGTGTGGCTGCTCTGCCTATTATCTCAAGAGTTAAATGTATGCAGTTTATTGTACACTGCTGGTTGTTGTTGTTGTTGTACCCTTGAAAAGTGGCAGGCGGTGTGGAGAAACCGAAAACAAAACCAGAAAAGAGTTAAGTTTACGCGTTAGCTGCAAAAGTGAAACTAAGCGTGTAAAAGTGCAAACAGTGATGGGAGAGGCACAGACAACAAAGCCAATAAGCAGCAACAGAAACAATAACAACAACAACAACATACGAGTATATACTCGTACATACAAACACACACACACACAGAAATACACACAACTTTGTTGAAGCGTAACTAAAACTTAAACCCAACTTGTAAAACTCTTGCAATCGCAACTAAGTTGTTGTAACACTCGATCGTATTGTTGTTGCCCCTACTTGTGGTATTATTGTTAATGTTGTTGTAGTAGTTGTTGTTGCTGCTACTGCTACTGCAGCCCACCTGTCCACCAACTTCCCCAGAACTGTCAAGAACTAACTAAAAAATAGAAATAAAATAAGAAAACTTTTAGTCCGGCTGCCTTCGTCATTGTCACCTTAATGGTCGTTGTTGGTGGCTGTGGTCGCCAGCCTTTTCTTTAACCCCTGCTAGCCCC